CAAATCACTTTGGGTATGACTTGTATTTTTTTGTCCGTGAACATGTTAAGTCTCCCCAATTGAAAGTAAATTCTTGGAAGTCATGGATTGTTTTCTTTCTGTTTTTGTATTCCCAGCACCAAGCACAGTGGCACATAGTGGAAGCTTAATGAATGCTTGTCAATGAACCGAATGACATAGTAGGATTTTAATATAAATGCCTGCAGACTTGAATTGAATTTGTAATCCTATGTTTGAGCTTGGAATATTTGCATAAAACTCTTCTCACTGATGAAAAGAATGATAATTTAGGAGGTGACAGAGGAGTTTGGGAGAGATGTGGTGTGTGTGTGTGTGTGTGTGTGTGTGTGTGTGTTTTAAAATTGCATCCTACTTCCTGCTTTGGGAGAGCATCTCTGCCTACTGGCTTCCTGGTTTCTTTTAAGTCCCAACCAAAACCCCATCTTCTACAGGAAGCCTTTCCCAACCCTTTTTAATACAGACCAGTAAGAAGCCAGGGGAACTATGTATGGACAATCAATGCTTGACCTGTAGTTAAGTACTTCTGGAGAGAACCAGAGAGTGCTGGTCATTTCTTATGATCTTGTGCAATATCTGTTAAGCATTTCCTATGTATTATGCATTAGAAGGTAGTTACAAATGTGAATGGCCAGAACCCCTGCCCTCAGAGAGCTCAGAGAAGCTGCTTGGGGGAGTAGAAAGGATACTGGAGTTGAGGTCAGAGAACCAGGGTTCAGATCTCAGATCGCAGTGCTTACTAGCTCTGTGACGCTGGGCAAATTGCTTAACCACTCTGTACTTCAATTTACTCATCTGCAAAATGAAAAGACTCAATGACCCCTAGTGGCCCTTCTAGATCAAGATCTATGATCTAATGATGAATAGCCTAGTACAGACATGTCAACATGGGATATCAGCTTGTGCCAGGTAAATGGCCTCTAATCCTTTCCTCTTGACACTCAACAAATCAGTTCATCAAGGATAGAATAGGCAAGAGAGAGCAGAGACTTGTAGCTTTAGAGATCAGAAGCCGTCTAGTCCTTCCTGATTATTTTGCAGATAAGGAAACTGAGGCCCAGAGAGGTTGAATGACCTTTCCATTGTTACACAAGTAGTAAATGGCAGAGCCAAGGTTAAAACTCAGGTCATAGGCTCAAGGATTTCCAATTAGAACATACCTCAGAAGACATGTAATCCAACCCATTCATTTTACCAATGAGGAGACTTAGTGCCAGCAGGGTTTAAGGTAGAGGGACTTGGCCAAGGTCACACAGGTAGTAAGTGTTCCAAATGATAATAATAGGTAGTGTTGATATACAATGAAGGTTGCCCAGTGACTGAATATCTCAGCTAGATTTGAACTCAGGTCTTTCTGGCACTAGGTCCAGTGTTCTCCCCACCACACCATCTACCTGCCAACTCTTCAGCACTCTTTCCCCCTACTCTGTTAGACTTCTTGGGGGAGGATAGGTGGGGGATTTTTCCTGAGCTGGAAAATGAAAACCCTTCCCCCTCATTCTTCTGGCTTCACCTTGTGCCCTTTGCTCCGGCATCTGCATCCTAGGTTTGGGGACGGCTACATCGTCACGATGAAGATCAAGCCCCCCAAGGTGGGCTTGCTTCCAGACCTGAACCCAGCCGAGCAGTTCTTACAGGCAAACTTCCCGGACAGCGTACAGAGGGAGAGACACTATAACATGCTCCAGTACCGCATCTCTTCCTCCTCGCTTGCCAGGATCTTCCAGCTGCTCATTTCCAACAAGGACAGCCTGTACATCGAGGAATACTCGGTCACACAGACCACGCTGGACCAAGTAAGTCTGGGCCAGAAGCCCAGAGAGGAGCCTCCCTCAGACAGAAATGGAAAGTGGGACAGGCATAGAATTGATGCAAAATCTGATAAGACCTCAGAATTAGCGGGGGCTTGGTGGTCCTCCAGTCTAGGTATCAGCCATCCTGAGGACTCCCAAGGGCAGCCCAAACCAAGGTAAAATGTAACTGGGAAATAATTGACAGATAGTAGTGTTTGCTGCAATTACTGTCCTCAAAGTAACCCTTTAAGGGCGGTAAAAGCAAAGGTTTCTCCTCATTTATCCCACTCAGACAGCTTGTATCCAGGTTCACACCTGTATTTTTCTGTAAACCTCAGGGATCCAGAGACAACCGCACAGGGCCAAACTCATAATCAGCAGTGGTAAAAAAGACAGGGATTTTGTCTTGTCCCCAACTTATTTACAGTAGAATGAGATGAATGTCCCAGACTGGTCTTGTTTCTGTCAAGCTGCATTACTCAGGGTCCATAGTGCCATAGACCCCAAAGGGCATCTAGTCTAATCACCTAATTTTAGAGATGAGGGAAAAGAGAACCAGGAAAGTTAAGTGAATTATCCAAGGTCACACAGGTAGCATCAGAGTAGAATTTGAACCCAGGTCCATGGTCAGTCCTCTTTGCACTAGACCAAATGGCATTTTAGAGCTGTCCACATCTGCATTTATTCTTCCCAAGTCCTTTTGCTGAAACCACCCCCACTTCAGCTGAGGAATATGGTTTTTTTTTTGTTTTTTGGGTTTTTTTTGCATGAGGCAATCAAGGGTTAAGTGACTTGCCCCGGGTCACACACAGCTAGTAAGTGTCAAGTGTCTGAGGCCAGATTTGAACTTAAGAGTCCTCCTGACTCCAAGGCCAGAGCTCTATCCACTGCGCCACCTAGCTGCCCGCCAGCTGAGGAATGTGAAAAGCAGATACTAGTGGGACACAGGTGTCTGGGGATTTTGCAAGCCAATTACACAAGCCACCTTCATGAGAACCAATCCAACCCCCAGTACCTGTGTGACCTTGGGCAAGTCACTGAACCTGTTTGCCTCAGTTTTTTTCATCTGTAAAATGGGGATAATAATAGTACTTACCTCCCAGGGTTGTTCTGGGGCAGCTAAGTGGTGCAATGGATAGAGTGCCAGGCCTGGAGCTAGGAAGACCTGAATTCAAATCCAGCCTTGGACATTTACTAACTGTATGACCCTAGGCAAGTCACTAAACCTCTGTTTGCCTCAGCTTTCTTTTCTCTAAAATGAGGATGATAACGGCACCTGTCTCCTAGGATTGTTGTGAGGATCAAATGAGATGATAATTTTAAAGCATTTAGCACAGTGCCTGACACAAAGGAAGCACTAGATAAGTATTAGCTAGTATTATTACATAAAGTCATAGATTTAGAGCTGGTAGGGAGCTTGGAGGTCATTGAGTCCAACACCCTCATTTTACAGATGAGGAAACTGAGGCCCAGACTTGTACAAGGTCACACCCCTAGTAAGTATCTGAGGCAGGATTTGAACAGTTCTTCCTGACCCCAAATCCAGTGCCCTACCTGTTATATTATACCATGTGGCCTCTGTGGGTCTCAGTTTCATTTGTAAATGTGGGAGTGAGGGTGGGGGGGTGCTAATTATATGGCTTCTGAGGTATATACCCTAGATCCATGGTACCATGACCTATGACCTAGCTAAACCCTTTAAAGTGAAGACCCTATAGAGGCTATGGGAGCTCACCGGGTGGCCATTTCTTAGAATGCTTCCATTTATGGTTATAAATTGCTCTCTTTCTTCTGCCTGTGTCCCAACCCCCACAGGTATTTGTGAACTTTGCTAAACAGCAGACAGAAGAGGATGATTTTCCCTTACACCCCCGTGCAGCTGGAGCCATCCCAGATGCCAAGGTAGCCCCAGCTCCTCCTTCCCAGGACGGTGTATAGAGCAGATCATCTGCTCAGACAGGCCAGCGCAGGCCCAATGAACAGCCCAGGTCAGCCTCTCCAAAGGGCTCTTGCATACCTAGACCGATCCAGGGTGCTAGGGACATAGCCACCAAACAAAGCTGCTTGAAACACTTCTGGGCATTGAGATATTTCATAAGTACGTCAAGACACAAATTCATGCAGTATGTCTGAAATGAAAAAACAGGGAGCGACTGCTTTGTCTCTGGGCGCTCATTTCCTTTAGCTGGAAATCACCCATTAGATCAGGGGTTCTTAAACGTCTTCCTTTTTTTTAAATCATGGACATCTTTTGCAGTTTGATGAAGCCTGCGCATCCCTGCAGATGGTTGCCTACATTCATAATTGAATGAATTACAGTTAGAGGTTAGTGAAAATAAAGATGTCATTTTTTGCCCCATCCAAGTTCACAGACACTCTGAAGTCTATCCTTAGACCCAGGTTAAGAGTCCCCACAAAGGAGAGAAAGATGTGCACATAAGCCCTTTTCTTGTCTATGCTCTTTTCTGTGTGAGGTCTTAGGACCGTAGATTTAGGGCTGGAAGGGATGATGACGTCTAGACTGACACCTTCATTTTACAATTGAGAAAACTGAGGCCCTGGGAGGTTGTGACTTGTCCAGGGACACACAGGTGTATACCTCATGTTTAGCACAGTACCTGGTATATAGTAAGCTCTTAATAAATGCATTTTCATTCACTAAACTATTACCCTCAGAAAGTTTTTTTTCCTTTCTTTTGATAAACCCAGTCCAACTCAATGAGCATTTATTGAGCACTGACTATATATAAGGCCCCTGCATGCTGGATGCTAGGAATACAAAGACAAAAAGAAAAATAGTGCCCACCTTCAGGAAATAGTGGTTGTTTGGGAGAGCTGATTCTGCCCAAATACCACCCAAGGACAGAAAAATGCTAAGCTTCAGGTAAAGTCTTGCCAGCCATGGCATCTGACTTAATTGATGATGGTGATGTTAATAATAACTCACACTTATATAGCTCTTTAACCCTCTTAACAACAACCTTATGAGGTAAGTAATGTGAATATTTTCCTGTTTTTATGAGAATGACCCTTTGTACCCTTTGGGGGGAAGCAGATGTGACTTTTTGTATGCAAAAACTGAAGAAGTAAAAACCTTATTTTGTACTTTACACTATGCAAAGACTCATGAGATTTGATTGACTTTCAGCCCAATGCCTGTTACCTGGTGTTTTCATATTGACTTCAGAATTCAAAACATAGCTTTGACTTTATTATGTAGATCATCTTTACAAAGAGTTGCAAAAATCTTTCTGTACAGCACTCGTAGGGAAATAAATCTGTCACAGAATAAATAGCAATCACATTTTCCAGTCTGTGTTATGAGATCCTAAAATTTTTTTTCCTTTAAAATGTCCCACAAACTAGGATAGGGTCATTTCTTGGACAGCTTTATAGAAAACCTTCCAAACTTTCCCCTGAACAGATGGCAGAAGGTCAGCTCCCCAGGAGGTCCTAAAACTGGCTGACTGCCCTCCTAGCTGTGGGTTATGAGCACAGGAGCTGATCTGAGCTGTCCATTTAGGAATGAGAGATCAGTGCATAGGTTCACCAAGTACATTTGAAAAGCTTGCTGAGAACATGACCCTGGAAAATATCCAGAAGGATGAAGAGCCTTTGGTTTCATCACACCTTGTTTTATGAAAACAAGTCTAGGGTCATGTGGATGATCAACCAGTAACATTTTAAATGGGTTAATAATTGCATGTCTATGACCTGGACTCTCTAGAATCATGAGCTGCTCCAATCAGTGCCTGAGACCCATTAGGTCAAATTATCCACTCTCCCCATTAAGAGAGTCCTTTTAAATTGCTTTCAGAAATAGCTGCAGCATTGGTTAATCCGTGTGATTTTCCCTCTTGTCCTGGGCTCATGCCATTGTGTTCTCACCCCCAAATACAGTACATGGAAAGGTTTCTTCTGAAGGTGACATATGACTAGACTACATGATAGATGGGATAAACATGTGCCATCTAGGTGGGTTCAGGTTCTGCACTGTCCGTCCAACTCAGAGAGCTAGGCACTGATTTACCAATTAAACCTCCCTACTTCTCTGTTTCTCTCTGCCCCTTCCGCCCCCCACTCCATAGTACCTACCCTATTAGCAGAGGCCATAGTATTTCTTCACCAGCTGAAAAAATAACATTGGCTGCCACCTCTGCATGAGTGAGACTTAGAGAACACAGCACCGAATGTTACCTCCCAGACCTGAGCACCAGAGGACTAGTGGGCCCTGTCCCATTTATAAGCTGGACTCTCTCTTATGGCTAAGCTTCTTTACTGCTCTTCTGACACAAGAAATGATCAAACATCATCCCCTGAAGACGTTCTAATTTATGGGAGTTTCCATAGACAGGAAGACCATGATAACTTGGCTGGGCTTACAAACAAACAAACAAAAAGAAAACAATCACCTACCACTACTCCCAAAATACAACTAAAAAACCCTTAGAAGATGAAAATCTCATAGGGATGTGTTACTTCTTAATATGCATGTACATATGCAGAAAGGAAGGTGTGTATATTTATGAACACACACACACACACACACACACACACACACACACACACACACACACACACACACACACACACATAGAATTATAGGATTTGGAAGCTGGAAGGGACCTTAGAACAAACATAGTCCAGGCCTCCTCACTTGCTAGGTGAGGAAACGAGAACATTCTATTACTTTGGAGTGCTGGTAGACTCCACACAGCCGTGGAGTTTAGCTGTCTTTCAGAGAATTATTGCCAATTGATTAACTTTAAAAATTGAAAAGTCACCACTTTTTTTTTCAGAAAACCCAGAAGATCAGGGCTCAAATGTTGGCTTTTCTGCCCCTAGGTCTGCTGAAGTGCCCAAGCATCACTGCTTGCTTCCTACAGCAAGAAAGGAATGATTGGCATCCGGAGACTGGGATAATCCTTGAACTCTCTTACGTAAGTGCAGTGTTTGTCCCTTGCCCAGATTGTCATCTGAATGAAGCCAACCAGCGTGAATAATCCCACTGTATCAACAAAAAAAAAGAGAGAGAGAGAAAGAAAGAAAGAAAGAAAGAAAGAAAGAAAGAAAGAAAGAAAGAAAGAAAGAGAGAGAGAGAAAGAAAGAGAAAAAAGGAAAAAGAAAATAAGGGAAAAAAGGAAAAGAAGACAAAATCCATGTAATTTGATGTCAGGCTCCCTGGAGGAGTGGCGAGGGCCCCAATAGGAACCCCGTTGGAGAAGAAACCAAGCAGACTCACCTGGGACACATTGAGTCATGATGGTGAAACTGATCCAGGCCCCCACCTGCAGCCAAACAGACACAAGATTGCTTTTCCTCTAGACCAGAGGTCCAGACCTACACTATTAACAAACATTCCAGCTGACATTAGCATAGGACCTGTTTGCTTTTCAAGTTGATCTATGTGGCTCTGTTTGTTTACCAAGAGAGAATAAAAAGTATATGTATCCACCATAAATAAAATGTCTACCATTATTGATTTCCTTGATGAAGAATGAGTCTGACTGTGTGGTTTCAAACATTACAATTCGGTGGCTTCACACACCCCTACTTTTAGCATCACGTCTCGGCTGGTCCTGGCAAGATCATGCATGAGTGGGGTGGCGAGGGGCAGGAAAGAATGTATGAACTAGCCTGGATTCCCCATGCTGAGTCTGCTCCTTAGTAGCAAAATCTTCAAAGGATAACAAATCTCAGAGACATCATCCACACCCAGCAAGGCTGCCCTTTCCTTCCCTAAGCTCTCCCTACACATTGGCTCACATACCTCATAAGTGTAATTAGGGCAGGAGACAAAGAAAAATAGCCACGTGAATGGATTCTTGGTTGGGTAGGGGATACGACGGGTCTTTGGTCCTGAGGATGTAAAAGAATGGTCATGTCAGTCCATCAGAACAGGCCTACATTATTAACATTTTTTTTCATCACAATCAATAAAACAGTGACTCAAACCCTGATCAGTAGTGTTTGCTGATCTCTGAGGTGTAAATGCTCACACTCAAAATTTACCATTGGACTATGATGAGCTGACTCCAATACAACCCCAAAGAGGGAAACCCACTGAAAGGTTTTTAGACCAGAGGTTGTCTCCAGAGGGTCCACAGAGACTCCTGTGAAGCTTTTGTCACCTGGCCCTCAAACATCAGTGGTAGCCAGAGCCCCAGGAAGGTGGGAACCCCAGGGAGCTGCCTGGGGCCAGTTAGCTTTGGGATGGTGAGTGGGACACCCCCTGGTGCTTTCCCCCATTCAGTACAAATGCTTAATAAATGTTTGTTGACCAGACTTAATCATTGCATCAGAGAGTTACAGTTGGGAAGGACCTTTTTCAAGGTCATCAGATTCATTTAAAGGCAGTGAGAATAAGTGATTTACCCAAGGGCACACAGCTAGTGAGTACCTGAGGCAGGATTTGAACCTAAGTCTTCCTGATTCTAAGTCCATCATTTTATACACTCTACCATGTTCCCTCCCAAAGGGCCATTCAATTCCTCATCTGACAGAAGAACCCATTCAGACGCAGATGGGTGAAAATTCTTACCTACTGTCCTTCAATCCTGGTCCCAAATCCAGGGTATCTCAGTCAGCCAACTAGTATATATTAAGCACCTACTATGTGCTAAGAGTAGCTAATAGTGATTCAATGACTAATGTGAGCAGAATGGCTAATGGTGACTTAGGGGACAGGGTATACTGGCCTGTGCACGCTTGCTGGGCTCTGTCTAAAGCAGGCCTTTTATTAGACACCTTCCAAACATCTCCAGGCTGTATGACAGACTAGGCCAGGGCCTCTGGGACAATGGTACCAGGACACAGCCAACTCTGGGGCTTGGGGCTCCCAATATACTTGCCCCTGGATGAAGAGCTAAGAGATACAATCAGTAATGGCCATGGAGCACAGCAATGTCTCTAGAGATCCACAGAGTCCAGAAGCTGCTGGAGGAACCTCTCCCCGAGCCTTCACTCTCTTAGGCAATGGCTTGAGCAGCACAGACATCCATGAGTTAAAGGTGAGATTTTACAATTATTATGGGTTTTGTCATTAAATCTCATAAAGAAAAAAGAATCTGGTTAGCTTTATGGTCATTGGTCTCTTTTAATTACATAAATGTTAAACTATGACAATAAAAACAAAAAATAAAAACTCTCACCATTTCCTCTTAGGTTATTGAGTTCCACGTGGATTGAAAAGTTTCCGGCTTCACATAACTATATTAAAAGACATAAAAAGATAGTGATACAAATTTTTGCTATAATTTTTTAACCCTATTATGTACATTTTTCTTTTTATTGGATCTATGATTTCATTGTCCTAGGGAACTTTCACACCAAAGTGGTTCAGCATACAAACTGATGTGCAGATTAGTCTTTGAGAGTTGTCTGGGGCCCTGAGAAGTGACTTGTCCAGGGTCCCACAGCTAGAATGTGTCTGAGGTGATGCTAGAATCCAGGGCTGCCAGACTCTGAAGTCAGCTCTCTCAACCCTTGACACCAAGCTGCCTCTCCCACTCCAATAACAGACACATTTTCAGAACTACCCCAGAGAATAAAGAAAAAGTTCTTTGGGTCTACTTCTAAAGACAATCCAAGAAACACATAAGGTCAACTTTCCCCTCGATCCCCCTCAACAGCAGCGACCTTCATCTGATTTCTAAGGTGAGGAGAAAGGATTAGAGAATTATTAAAAAGCCCTCTCTCCTGGTGCCCTGGCTAGCTTAAACGAGTGATTTCAAAAGTTGAGTTCACGGAACTTAAAGACACCAACAATCTTTGATTCTGGTAACAAAGAGATCAAAGAACATGAGAGTAGAACCTAATGATAATAATAATAGTTAACATTTATCTAACACTTGCTCTGTGCCAGTCACTGTGCCAAGCACTTTATAATTATTATCCAATTATAATTGATAACAACACCCTAGGAGGTAGGTGCTATCATCATCCCCATTTTGCAGACGAGGAAACTGAAGGAAACAGAGGTTAAGTGACTTGCCCAGGATCCCACAGCCAGTAAGTATCTAAAGATAGATTTGAACTCAGGTCTATCCTGACCCCAGGCCAGGCATTCTATTTTTTTCACTACCCTAGCTGCCCTCAAAACATGGGGTTCTTAACCTGAGGCTGGTGAACCCATTTAAAAAATATTTTGACAAGTGAATTTCAATATAACTGTTTTTTTTAAATAATTCTATATATTTTATTTCATGCATTAAAAAACACTATCCTGACCTGAGAGGGGTTCCATAGGTCCCTCAAAAGGATATGTATTCCCAAAAGGTTAAGAATTCCTGGTCTTGAAGTGCCACCTTTCATGACTAAGTGGCGAATGGCACTTGATGCCCTGCCCCCCAAACCAGCCCGGGAAAGACTCTCAAAGGGAAACTGGACAGCCAGGTCTACTGTGCTGCTAACACAATAAAATAGAAGTATGTGAGGTGTAGTATGGTATAGCAGAAGGAGTGTAGAATTTGGAGTCAGAGAATGGACTTTGAACGCCAGCCTGCTCCCTATTTCCTGGGTGATCTCGCACAAATCACTTCAATGGGCCACAGTTTCTACCTCTATGAAATAAAGGGTTAAGTTTAGATACTGTCTGTGGTCCCTTCCAGCTCTACACCTATGATCCCATCATTAATCTGCAAGACACGTGTGGAAAACCAAAGGCAAGGTTTTGTTTTCTGATGATTGCTGCATCTGTGGATGGCAGACAGAGAAATGGAGGAAAGCACCCATCAGTGGGGACTGAGAACTCAGGGACTTTTCATTCAGCTCCCTGGAGGGCTCGTTTGGCTCTTTGGAGGGCCTTGGCTTCTCACCACTGAAGGCATCCATTTATGAGCCATGGAACTGCTAGCTGACATCTTTTCTGATAAAGAGAAGTCAGGAATTGGGAGTACTTTCATCTAGCTTCTGACACTTGGCCAACTGGTAACCACACCTTTTTTTTTTTAAACTATCCACTTTATTATCTATTGTGGCACAATATTCCATGACATTCATGACACTCCGTGACATTTAGAGTTTGCTTAGCCATTCCCCAATAGAACATCCCCTCAGTTTTAAATGCTTGACTACCACAAAACTACCACAAAAGCACTTCCATGAATGTTTTTGTACATATGGATCCTTTTTCTCCTTTTTTGATTTCTTTCAGGTACAACCCTAGCAGTGGCTAAAGGGTGTGCATAGTTTGGTAACTTTCTGGGCATAATCTAAATTGTTTTCCAGAATGTCTTGACCAATTCACAATTCTAACAAGAGAACACTAATGTATCTTTGCCAGCATCTCTTTCAACATTCAATATTTTCCTCTTTTATTATCTTTGCCAATCTGATGGATGTGAGCTGGAACTGCAAAATTATTTTAATTTGCATTTCTTTCATTATTAGGGATCTAGAGTATTGATTTTATTTTATTTTATTTTCAGGTCCGAATTCTCTCCCTCTTCCCTATTCCTTCCCATCCCCTTTCCCTTGAGAAAGTAAGAAAAACAAAATCATACACTTCATCTATGCCTTTGGCCCTAAGTCCCATCCTTACAAGAGGTAGCCAGTGTTAGGTCAAATCCATTTGACATCAATTCCCATCAATTATTAAGATGACCAAGGTGATCCAATTAGTCATTTCTCACCTACAGGCTTTTAGGATCATAGGATTTAAAGATCATCAGGGTCCCTCCATTTTACATTAGTCTCCATGACAAACTCTAAATTCCAACCTCAGTTGGTCTATTTGCTGGCCCCTGAATAGTCTCTCTTTCACCTCCTTCCCCAAAGGACACACAGGTAGGAAGGAGCAAGAGCTAAAGATTGGAACCCATGCCAGCTGATCCAACACCCTCATTTTACATGAGAGGAAGCCAGGGACATTAAGTGAGGCAGAGCCGTAGGATTTGACTTTGAATTCAGGGTTTGAATCTAAATTTGACTCTAAGTCCAGATAGTTTGACACCATACAATCTGACCTTAATTTCTAATTAAAGTCCAATTCAAGGATTGTCTTTTGCCTTTCTTTGCATCCCTAGCACTTAGCACAGTGCCTGGCACATAGTAGGTGTTTAATAAATGTTTAATGACTGGCTGACTGAACTTTTCAGAAATTTGTTGTTGTTCAGTCATTTCAGTGACCTCATTTGGGGTCTTCTTAGCAAAAATACTGGCCATTTCCTTCTCCAATTCATTTATAGATGAGGAAACTGAGGTAAGCAGGGCTAAATGACTTGCCCAGGGTCATATGGCTAGTAAGCATCTAAAGCCAGATTTGAGCTCAGGAAGATGAGTCTTCCATTCTATCTACTCCAATCATGAGCCACGGAACTACTAGCTGACATCTTTTCTGATAAAGAGAAGTCAGGAATTGGGAGTACTTTCATCTAGCTTCTGACACTTGGCCAACTGGTAACCACACCTTTTTTTTTAAACTATCCACTTTATTATCTATTGTGGCACAATATTCCATGACATTCATGACACTCCGTGACATTTAGAGTTTGCTTAGCCATTCCCCAATAGAACATCCCCTCAGTTTTAAATGCTTGACTACCACAAAACTACCACAAAAGCACTTCCATGAATGTTTTTGTACATATGGATCCTTTTTCTCCTTTTTTGATTTCTTTCAGGTACAACCCTAGCAGTGGCTAAAGGGTGTGCATAGTTTGGTAACTTTCTGGGCATAATCTAAATTGTTTTCCAGAATGTCTTGACCAATTCACAATTCTAACAAGAGAACACTAATGTATCTTTGCCAGCATCTCTTTCAACATTCAATATTTTCCTCTTTTATTATCTTTGCCAATCTGATGGATGTGAGCTGGAACTGCAAAATTATTTTAATTTGCATTCTTTCATTATTAGGGATCTAGAGTATTGATTTGATTTTATTTTATTTTCAGGTCCGAATTCTCTCCCTCTTCCCTATTCCTTCCCATCCCCTTTCCCTTGAGAAAGTAAGAAAAACAAAATCATACACTTCATCTATGCCTTTGGCCCTAAGTCCCATCCTTACAAGAGGTAGCCAGTGTTAGGTCAAATCCATTTGACATCAATTCCCATCAATTATTAAGATGACCAAGGTGATCCAATTAGTCATTTCTCACCTACAGGCTTTTAGGATCATAGGATTTAAAGATCATCAGGGTCCCTCCATTTTACATTAGTCTCCATGACAAACTCTAATTCCAACCTCAGTTGGTCTATTTGCTGGCCCTGAATAGTCTCTCTTTCACCTCCTTCCCCAAGGACACACAGGTAGGAAGGAGCAAGAGCTAAAGATTGGAACCCATGCCAGCTGATCCAACACCCTCATTTTACATGAGAGGAAGCCAGGGACATTAAGTGAGGCAGAGCCGTAGGATTTGACTTTGAATTCAGGGTTTGAATCTAAATTTGACTCTAAGTCCAGATAGTTTGACACCATACAATCTGACCTTAATTTCTAATTAAAGTCCAATTCAAGGATTGTCTTTTGCCTTTCTTTGCATCCCTAGCACTTAGCACAGTGCCTGGCACATAGTAGGTGTTTAATAAATGTTTAATGACTGGCTGACTGAACTTTTCAGAAATTTGTTGTTGTTCAGTCATTTCAGTGACCTCATTTGGGGTCTTCTTAGCAAAAATACTGGCCATTTCCTTCTCCAATTCATTTATAGATGAGGAAACTGAGGTAAGCAGGGCTAAATGACTTGCCCAGGGTCATATGGCTAGTAAGCATCTAAAGCCAGATTTGAGCTCAGGAAGATGAGTCTTCCATTCTATCTACTCCAATCATGAGCCACGGAACTACTAGCTGACATCTTTTCTGATAAAGAGAAGTCAGGAATTGGGAGTACTTTCATCTAGCTTCTGACACTTGGCCAACTGGTAACCACACCTTTTTTTTTAAACTATCCACTTTATTATCTATTGTGGCACAATATTCCATGACATTCATGACACTTCATAACATTCACAGTTTGCTTAGCAATTCTCCAATAGAACTATCATTATTTGTCCCAAGATAGTCCTACTAAATGGGAAGAGAGGCAGTGTGCTATAGTGGATAGAGCAATGGACTCGGAATTGGGAAGACTTGGCTTCTAGTTCCACCTCAGACACTAGCTCTGTGATCATACACAAGGTTCTTAACCTCTTGAAGCCTCCATTTCCTCATCTGTAAAATGGGGAGGGTAATATCTGTACTAAGCAGCTCATAGGGTAATTATGATAAAAGTCACACACTATATAAATGTGAGTTATCTGAAAGTTCACAGTCAGGGAAAAGTCTCACATAAAAGACCTACCAGAAAGGTGATCAGAGAAAAATTGATCTGCTTTTGTCCATAGGCTACACACCAATAGAACAGACAAAACAAAACGAGAAAAAGGAAAAAATAAGAGAGTTAATTACAAGGCCACCCGAAGGAAATGCAGAAATGACATGAACTGAGGGCCGTTTTGTTACTTACAAGGAGGCGTGTAAAGAGGATGATTGATGTAATAAGCAAGCCAAGCAGCAAATCCCCAGTAAAAGAAGCAATTCTGGAAAATAAGTCAGTGTTCTTATTTCAATTTTAGTTTTCAAGTGTCAAAGCCCAGCCACCTTCCTCTAAGCAAAGAGGCTGGTCATGGTCAGTAAACTTCTCCCTGGGAGCCCCATCTCAGGTGGTTGGTTGCTTCACACTACGAGGCAGGGAGCCCCTTAAAAACCAAAGGCTCAGGTCCCTCACGCTGGTCGTCGTACCACTTAGACAACGGCAATGCGGCCATTCTTGGATAGTAACATTAGGGCTGACTGGTCGGAAGCAAGCCTCCAGGACACGAAAGCTCTCTGTTCTGTTTCTGAATCAGTGAGACTCTTAACCAAACCAGTTAAAGGTCCTGGAGGTTGGAAGAGTCATCCACAGTCGTCGTAGTTAAGGCATCTCACTTAGTGAGTCATCTAGTCTGGATTCCTCATTTTACAGAAGAGAAGCTAAAACCCCAAGGGCTAAGAGAGAGGGTAGACCATTGAAGTCAGGAGACCTGAGTTCGAATCCTGCCTCTGACACCTAGGATGGGAGTTGTCATGGGCAAATCACTAAACCTCTCGAAGCCCCATCTGTAAATTGGCGATAATGATATCTGTACTACCCACCTCACGTAAATATTATGAAGAAAGCATATTTTGTGACTTTTAAGGTTCTGTGCAAATGTAACTGCAAAGTGATTTATCATAAATGGCAAAGCTGGAACTTGAACTCAGGACTTCAGGTACCAGAGTCAGCCTTCTTTCCACTAAGACCACACTGTCTCTTCTCCAACTATGGCATATAATTATCTGTAGTGCTGTAAAACAATTTCAGAGATCTATTATGACCTACTGGAGAATAGGGGCCATGTGTAATTGTAGTGATTATTAATATGATACATATTATTATTAATATGAAACAGCTAGATGGCGCAAAAAATAAAAAGAGCACCTAGTTGACTTCTGGAGTCAAGAAGAACTCAGTTCAAATCCAGCCTCAAACACTTACTAATTACATGACTCTGAGTAAGTCATTTGACCTCTGTCTGCCTCAATTTCCTCATCTATGAAATGGGGATAATAAGAAAGGGAAGGGAATAAGCATTTACATAGCACCTACGAAAAGCCAGGCACTGTGCTAAACTCCTTAAAAATATTATCTTATTTGATCCTCACAACAACCATGAGAGGAAGGTGCTATCATTAGCCCCATTTTACCATCGAGGAAACTGTGACAAATAGAGGTTAAGTGACTTGCCCAGAGTCATATAGCTAGTAAGTGTCAGAGGTAAGATTTAAACTCAGGTCTTCCTGACTCTAGGCTCAGCACTCTATCCACTTCACCAGCTAGCTGCCAGATAGATAGATGGGTAGATAGAAAGACCGACAGAGAGATAGAGAGAAATATCTTAAATATGTATATGTATGTGTTACAAATATATGTTTGTTATTGTTTGTCCTGTTTTCAAAGAGGACCAGTGACATCATGGGGGGATATCTTGACTTTCGAGTGAATTGGATTTAAGTGAGGCAGAGTTACACAAAGTCATCAGCCTCACTCTCTTCCAGAGTCATCAGATACATATATATATATATGTATGTATGTATATATATATATATATGTTATATATATATGTATGTATGTATATATATATGTATGTATATATATGTATAATGGAGTATCTATTATCTATCTATATTATCTATTATACATCTATAATATGTAAAACTATTACCTGCTTCTCAGGGTTGTGAGAATAAAATGAAATGATATTTTGCAAACCTTAAAGTTCTATAAAAATGCTAGCTAATAATGATATTGTTATTATTGCCCACAGCGCTAGCAAAGTATATACTACTGGGGTGGGGAACCTGTGGCCTCCAGGCCACATGTGGCCTTCTAGGTCCCTGGGTGTGGCCTTTCGACTGAGTCCAAATTTTACAGAACAAGTCCCTTTATTAAGGTGTGAAATTTGGATTCAGTCAAATGCCACACGAGTTCCAAGAGGGCCACGTGTGGCCTTGGCCTTACAGGACAGTCAATATTTATTGAATGAATAAATAAGTGAAAAAATAGCAGCTTTCCAGGGTTTTGTTCCATCTTTTTAATCATTTCTAGAACTTTGCCAACCCACCCACTAAATATTTTATCAGCCTGGTCTGGGAATGGGAAAGCTGGGAGATATTGGTGGACTTCTCCTTTAACCAAAGCTGCCGTTTCCAATACCACCTTCACATCCTGTTGGGTTTCTTAACTCAAGATTAAACATCATGGGGATGGAGGTGCTCAAGAGGGAGATGGGTAGCTGGCAGCAGTGAGGTGGGTCCAATAGGCAGGTGAGTGAATGGGATAAATGGAATCTGGAGTCAGAGAGAAGATGTAATGAAGCCAGAGCACCTGCCCAATAAGGTGTCGGCTTTGTAGTCAACCTTAACTGCTCCTCCTCTCTCACTCTCCCCCTAGTCCATATTCCAATCAGTTGTCAAGCCTTGGTGATTGACTCTACCACCACCATGTCTCTCTCATCTGTCCCTTCCTCTCAATTCAAGGGCCTGAGTTTTATGGAGTCCTCATTGCCTCTTGCCTGGGCTATTCCAATGGCCTCCTTGTTGTTCTCCCTGTTTTCAATCTCTCCCCTGCTCTAGTCTGTTCTCCACACAACTGTCAAAATAATCTTCCCAAAGCACAAGTCTGTCTAGATCACTCCCCTGCTCAAGAAACTTCAGTAACTCCCTATTATCTCTAGGACAAAATATGAACTGTCCTCAGGAAGCTTATTACATTTGATGCCTCAGCTGGATATTTAAAACCCTTCAGCATCTGGCTCAGCCCTGCCTTTCCCAATGTAATTCATGACTTCCTTTCATGTGCTCTATGTTCTAGTTACTGTCCCTGAATTTGATCTCCTATGACCACCTCCACGAAGACATGGGAAGACATATGTGAAATGCACTTCCTCCTTACCTTTTTTTTTCTTCTCTTTTTTTTTCTTTTTGGGTTAAGTGACTTGCCCAGGGTCACACAGCTAGTGAATATCATGTGTCTGAGGCCAGATTTGAACTCAGGTCCTTCTGACTCCAAGGCCAGAGCTCTGTCCACTGCGCCACCGAGCTGCCTGCTCCTCACCTTCTCTCAGAATCCTTAGTTCCTTCCGGTGCCAATTCCCCCTAATTGTCATTGCTCTCTCCCTCCTCAAATTCTACTGGATTTACTTATCTATTTATTTGAAGAATGTAAGCTTCCTGGGGGCAGGGCCTCTTTCTTTTTGTTTTTGGATCCCTAGTGCCTAGCACAGTACCTTACAAATGGTGGGGGCTTAGCAGATATTTGTTGGATTGAATTGAATTTTAGGATCCTACATAGTCTGGTTGTTGTTATTCAGTCATTTCCATTGTATCCAACTCTTCATGACCCCCATTTGGGGTTTTCTTAACAAAGATACTGGAATGGTTTGCCATTTCCTTCTCCAGCTCATTTTCCAGAGGAGGAAACTGAGGCAAATAGGGTTAAATGACTTGTTCAGGATCACACAGCTAGTAAGTGTCTGAGGCCAGATTTGAACTCAGGAGGATAAGTCTTCCTGACTCTCAGTACAGAGCTTTATCTATCCACCCCGCCACATAGCTGCCAGCACAATCTGGGGTCACTCCCTTTTTCTACCTCATCTTAGACCCAAAAGATGAATGTGTAATAAAAATGCCCCATACTCCTCCCTTTCATACACCCAGACTACAGTCAAATTAAACTCCCCAGTCCCTGTACAAGTCCTGAGCTCTGTTCGTAGGCCTGGAATGCCCTCCCCACCATCTCTACCTGTTTACATCCTACCCATCTGCTGAGGCTTAGCCGGATCATCACAGAGTTAGAGAACGAAGCAACCTCAGTCCAACCCCCTCATTTTACAGCTAAGGAGACTGAGGTCAAGTGGTTGAGTGACGTGCCTTACTACCGAGGTGGTAGGAAGGCATGCTTGTTCAACTACAGGCTGGATTAGATGGTTTCTAGGATCACTTTCAGTTTCGAATCTGTGATGCTAGTAAAACCAATGTTAGTTATTTTCTTAGACTATAGAGATTTAAAATTGATACATATTTTTAAGAAGCAGCCCAACCATTCTTGAGTTTTGAACTGGCTCATGGTCAGTGAATGCTGTACACAGAAATGATTCTTTCCCCTCCACAGCCACTTCTCTCTCTTTTTTATTGCTTAGGTTGAGGCAGCTCAGGCAGATGGCAGACCGAGGGAATGGTTAGACTAGCCCAGAGGCCAACAGGTCCATTGGCCTAGTGTATAACTTGCACCTTTTGTATTTTGAGGAGAAAGGTCTGCAAGGCCTCCTACCGGGGATGGTGTCCATCATATTTTGTTATCCAATCCTGGCTCTGCAACAGATTTGATTTGATTTATTAAAAGATTAACTTTGAACATCAATACAACCTACTCTACTTACATAGTGATTTAAATGAATTCGTTTCACTTTATAAAGTATCATAGCAATTTTTCAGATCTTCCTCTAAGTCCTCGACAGGACTTGTTATTCATCCATTTATTCTTATTCACTTTTCCTTTTATATAGTCATAATTAATCAACAAGCACTTATCAGGCACCTACTATATGCGCTGAGTGCTGAAGGTATAAAGAAAGGGAAAAAAACTGCCCTTGCTTTCCTGGTGCTCACAGTCCAATGGAGGAAACAACACTCAACCAATCGTGTACAAACTAGCTTAGAGACAGGATCAATGAGGGACAGTCAACAGAGGGAAGGCATTAGTGTGAAGGGGGGCCAGGGAAGGTTTCTGTAGAAGGTGGCATTTTAGCTGGGAATTGAAGGAAACCAGGAGGCAGAGGTGAAGAGGAGAAGGAGGAAGAGGAAGAGGAGGAGAATTCTAGGTGGGGGGGGTAGCCAGTGAAAATTCCCAGAGTCAGAAGATGGAGTGTCTTGTTGAAGAAACAGCAACATGAAGGCCTGTATCGCTGGATCAGAGAATGAAATGAAGGAGGAAGGGAGAGGTAGGAAGGTTTAAAAGGAC